ACTTAGCAGTTTCTAAAGTACAGAATGTAGATTTTCGAGTAAAACCTTAAGAAACAAAAATATTATGTGTCGCTTACATATATATCTTTTAGATTCCACGATTGCCGACCTGCCACTAAACTGACGGAATAATTAGCCGTAGTGCATCACAAAGGTGCTGAGAGCAGTTCAGCAGTTTTGCAGGAATTCTCAAATGCATGATAAAGGTTTTTGTGTTATTGTGTAAAACTTTACATAATATAAATATTACGTAATAAATTCTTGAGTAAAACCTTACAAAACAGAAATATAATATAATGTGCCGCTAAGATATGTATCTTCTAGATTCCATTAACACTTAGGATTGCCAACCTGCCACTAAACTGACGGAATAATAAAATTAGCCGAAGTTCTCACAAAGTTGCCTTCAGTTACCTACTTATTATTATCTGAACAGTCAATAAAACAGAGTGTCCCTTCTAATGATTACGTTTTACGCACATTCTCCTTCTTTATTGCGCTATTTTATGGTCCGTACTCTTTGATCGTGCGAGTTTAGAGATAGGACATTTGTACAAATGAAACGAGCTAAAATCTCAGTGCGCTGCGAAGAGAATCTTTTTTAACGTTTCAAAATATTAAAGTAACTAAAGCACTTGTGTTATGGAAATCAGAAACAACGACGGTACCACAAATACTGGTGAAATACTGCTGATGAAATGCATGCATACATGATGAAATGAAAAAGATGGTGGTGATATTACAGCCACATAGGACTTGCCAACTTATGTCTCAGGGTGACGGGTAGTAAACTTCAGTGGTAGTGCCCCTGAGATCTTTGCAATTTTAAGCTCTGAGTGGCACAGTAACTGTAATGGACAGGCGTGTAGCTTACCATCAGGCGCACGACATATTCGTCCCATCACTTGATAAACAAAAAAAAAAGTTGAGTCTGCTTGTTAAGCAACTATTGAGTCTCAATAGAGTTATTTACGAGTAGGTTTTTTTTATTTATTTATTACAAATATAACTTAAAATAAGGTACATAGTAGAACTGGTGTCTCATAAACCTATTGCAGGTTTTTCTGTACACCACTGCTTGATTCATAATATTAATTAAAATGAACATGAGGGTAGAAAGATATTCCGCTCCGATATTATATTACTGCACATTATACGGGGTGCTAATTTAATACTTGTTAGCATGGTTAGATTTTAGTAATTTAAGTGTAAATTTAGCTATAGATATTAAGTTTTAGTGTAATATGTGAATTAACATGAGTAAAGGTGGATAAAAACTAGGGTCCCAATAAGGTTGTACTGTTTAATGTGTCATAATTTGTTAAGGAAATATTGTTTTAGTTTAGTCTTTATATTTTTAGGGTTAATCTCGTCTTTCAGATTTTTAGGGAGGTCATTGATAATTCGTGGAATCATATTTGTGTTTTGATGTTCCCCATACATATTATGCACTCTCGGGACAATTAGTTTAGGATTTGTTGCACTTCTCAACTGTTTTTTAATTATCTTAGGAACCTGTAAGTTTTTGTTGAAAAATTGTTCTATAAGTAGTGTATAGTCTCTTCTTTCGCTAACTGGTAGAACTTTGCAAAACTTAAACAGTTCATTGTTGTTTATAAATGTTTTCTTGATTTTTTCCGGTACAATTGTTTTTAGGATTCGTATTTGAAGTTCATCAAGGTGAGACTTACAGGTTCTCCCATAACTACTGAGACCATACTGTATTATGGAGTCAGCCAGTGCTTTATAGAGTGATAATAACGTGGGATATGGAATTTTGTATTTAATTATTGAGAACTTGGCAAGTACTGCTCTTAGTTTATCGCACACGTTATTTATGTGTTTAACCCATTTGAACCGACTGTCAATCACAAGGCCCAGGTAAGTTTGATGGTCAACCTGAGTAATGTGGTCACAGCTACATTTTCATCTTTGTGAGTTGTTGTGGAGACAAGCATGGTTATGAGCAATGAGCTGGACGTTGAAAGATTTTCGGTTTTTACCTATATATATAATATTATCAGAATAACCAATAGTATTAGAATTGTAATATATTCTCAGTGGAGTCGTAATGGAATTACAATGATTAGTGGTTTTAAGATAAAAAACTTACCGAAAATTTCGTGGAATTACATCTATTTGCCAAGTTTTATTGAAATCTGTTACCGAAAAGTGCGCGAAACCTGATTCATCCCCTAGTTTGCTAACTTTAGAGGCGGAATATTTTCTTCAAATTTAAATGGGACCAGTAGAACTCCTCGTGGAAGAGTTCATCCAGAGAAGTACTGTATTATTATTATTATTTCTGCTGCCAAGTAGTAATGTTAGCATTTCTGTGTTCCGGTTTAGAAGGGTAAGGGTGCTGGTGAAGTTACGGGCACATAGGACTTGTAAGTCCAAACTCATGGTACCACGATTTCGTTTAACCAAGGTAAACAACTCTTTTATGGGGAACTGTATACGTTTTTACAATAAGATTCCGGAGCATATATTAAGTTTATCATTTCCTAAGTTAAACAAAAAAGTAAAAACTACATTAAAAATATTTTGATCGAAAAATCATATTACAAAATTGAAGACTACGTGTTAGATAAAGATGTATGGAAAGACGACATGGCTCCAGAATCCACACAAATTTGATTCAAAGTGTATTCCATATTCCATTAAATTTATTTGAAAAGAGCAATCCCTAGAGTTTCTTGCTCGTTCTTCTCAGGGAGGTTAGCGTAGTGAACGAGCAGAAGCTTAAATGTGACGTTTTCAAGTATAAATTTATTTTACCTATGGAATAAATAATCTTTGACTTTGACTTTGTCAACTTATGTCTCAGGGTGACGGGCGCAGTGGCAGTGGCCCTCAGATCTTTGCGATTTAAAGCTCTGAATGGCACTGCGACTGTTATGGACAGGCGTGTAAGTTACCATCAGCACGACTCGTTCTTCTCGTCACTAGATATTATAAAAAAAACCTATACTGAGGTATCCTCTTTCCTTGAAAGAAATCAGTTCACAAAAAAAAAACAAAAAAATACAGTCGATTTGAGAACCTCCTCAATTTTTTTTAAGTCGGTTAAAAATTAGTAGACTGTTTTTTGCCTCGTATCTAGTTTGTACTTTACAAAATTAGCATAAATTTCATTTTGCTATAGTTACCAAAATTCGCTCCCATTACCTTCCGCAGGAATGTAAATTGAGCCTATGGCTGGACTAAGAGGCATTTGTAAGTAAGTTGTGATTATTTTCGTAACATGTATTTGAACACTGTGCAGCTCCCTCCCATGTCCTTGCAAGTGCGGGCGGCGCAAGCTCTGTCGCCGGAGCGGCCGAAAACCGCCAAAGGCTTAAATACGCCAACGTTAGTCAGTGTTACAGCTTTGTGCCCTTTGCGGTTGAAACCCCCGCGCCACTGCGCCCGTCACCTGAGACATAAGTTGACAAGTCTCGTGCCTTTAATTTCACCAGCACCTTTCCTTCAAAACCAGAGCACAGTAGTGTAAACTGGGGCGTAGCTCGTGTTGCGTAGCGAGAGGTACTTTTATAAATTTAAACTGGAATAATCTTCAAAACTTGGTTTATTGTATTCTTTCACATATTTTCTTATTCAGGTTACCTTCCGAACTCTCAAGATGTTCTCTTCTTTCTTATTTCATTTTTCAAACACATTCTAAATACAAAACTATATCACTCAGTCAGTGATTCTACTCATAGAGTAGAGCCTAGACTACAGTAGGTAATGCTAACATTAAGGCTTGGCAGTAGGAATAGGTAAGGTGACAGTACTGTCCCGGACGTACTCTTTCACAAGGAGCTATACTGCTATTTTCATAACACAACTGCTTTAACTACTTACTTTGGGATCGAAGCAACGTATGTGATGTTGTCTAATATATATTCATTATAATAAAAAAACTGTATATATAACCCTATATATACAGTTTTTTTATTATAATGTGTGTGGCCCCTAAGGACCCCCTTAGGGGCCACAGTCGAAACTTCAAGCGAACGAGCTGTCGGCTCGTAGAAGCCTCCAGTGACCAACAAGGCTTGCAGTTATTTCCGCCAAAGTATAAGTTTATCTATTTACAGGAGATATGTTGCCAGACGTTTGGGCACGATGCCCCAGGGCATGACACTGGAGGAAATTCTAGTTTCAAATACTATAATATACTGTGGTTATATTATTTCTCGAAATTATCTTACATAGTATCTGCAACAAATAAATCATTCTTTCATGTCTTTTAACACGTTACTGTATCAATGGCTACCTAAATGAAAATGTCTGTTTCCCACTTTATAGAAATGACGGCAGAGCTAAAAAGTTGCGTTTTCGGTTACCATAAAATTCTTTTTTATTCTGGTCCAGTTCTTTTTTAAGGTTTTTTGTTTTATTTTCAGTACAGCATCTCGTAAAGAAACAATATTGATGATTATAATATTCTGTAACAATATTGAATGTTACAACTTAAATTCTAATGTAAATTTGCCTTTGAAATTGGAAATTTGTTGTTGACCTTTAATTAATTAATCAATCTATTATACAGGGTTCATGGCTATGGGACACGGAAGGAATGTACTTTAAATGTCGTAGATAGGATCTTATTTTGTTTCATGGAGATATTATTTTATTTTTAAAAGAAGGAATACTTAACGTGACCATTATTTTTCTACTCAGAGCGGGACGCCTGTGAATTTATTATTGATTTGAAAATAAAACACATATTTATGGTAGTTACGAAATATTTAATGACTAAAAAAATAATAATAAAGGAATGAAAATTATAAAAAATTACAATAAATACCCAACCTTGTGAGCTGGCGTTATATATTTTTTGTTGTCGTGCCATTTTTTTATAATTAATGTCATGTGTGTCCTGTTTAGTCAAAACGGGACATTGTTAAGTATTTTGGAGACTGCGGGACACGAGGCTTAAAAGCGGGACACTACCGCTCTAAGCGAGACCAATGCATTTACATTTTACTCAGATCTATTTTCTTTCACAGATATCTCTGGATCCGTATCGCCCTCTTCGAGCGTCAACTAGCTAAAATAATCGAGCACTTAGTGAATAACGCAACTCGGTACTACGAACGGGACGCCCTTGTCGCCGACCCCGACTACGGAAGTATCTTGAGCTCGCTCCTGGTTGGACCTTGTGCGTTGGAATACTCCAAGGCGAAGGCCCCCGCTTGTTTTTGGACTGATCCGCCTGCTGACGAGTTGGTAAGAGTGGTATTATCATATTATCACACACACGCACGCTCACAAAAACATACACACGTACACATATCACGCGCGCGTACGCGCACACGCAAGTGGCAATATTTCGATGACACACTTGGGTAAGCAAACACTACGGAGAAATGTGTAGATTTCAGAGAACAACGTGTTTTGGGTGCAATCCAGACGTAGAGGTAGTTTTGCTACAATATATTTTCGTATGTATATTCGTTTAAAACCTAAACCTAAATGCATAAATCGTACACAAACAGTGTTTTTAACTGTGATGAAATCATGATACCAAAAAAACGAAATACTTATTCAATATATATATTACTTTACATTGATGAAAGAACATGTTCAAAGTGAAAATGATATCTGCAAAACTGAAGTGACTTAATATCCTCCAATATTAAACTTTGTAATTAAAACAATTGTCCAAACTTTGATTGACTACGAAATTAACGGAGTTTCTAGGTGTTCGAAAATTTACGGAAAATTTATACAATTACATAGTTGTAGTATGGTATAATAAGACAAGTAGTGTAACTCCTGATTGATCGCGTCAATGTCTACACGGCCTCTCGGAGCGTAGGGTTGTCACATAGTTATTTTATTACCCAGAGGTTGTAAACATAATTTAAGATAAATAAAGTATTCATCACAATATTTTCGTGCTATTTTGAAATAATCTTAGTCAAATGCAGTTCTTACGTGTCAATATTTGTATATCAGCATCGTCGATCGGTGTCTGGATGGGAGTATGATTATTAAATACAAATAGTGATTATGATTATATAATGATTTACTCATATCAGAATCTGGAGGTCCCATTGATGTTTTCTACAATAATCTTTATCGAATTCGTACCATTCTCCTCAAATATTTCAACTCTTCTTATTAGTACTGCCAAATTTATATCTATGTGAGTCTTTAGTAGCATTAGTTTTAAGTTGTAATCTCCCTCTTTTTTTGTAATCCTTATACAAATATGTTTATACTTCGCATAATAACGCTGTGTGTACAAGTATTAGGTCTACATTCTAGATTACGACTATAAAATGTATCTCAACATGTTCCACTGAATGTAAACTATTTTGTACATCCTATAAAATAAAAAATATAAAAACAAAATACACTTTTGATTTTGAGGCACTTTTGGTCAACCAATAACACAACAATAAACATGTCTACTATTTGATGTTATTATTTAAATACTGAGCGAACGCTTCAATTCTATAATTAATAGCACGTGAGACGACCCGCGCTATGCAACGCGAGATTATGCGAATGTGTGCATCCGTACACGGCGCGCAGCGGGGGTGCACACATACAAGCCACGTTGCTACTTTTGTATGGAGTTACACTACTTGTTTTAATGTACGATGGTGGTCGTAGCTTAGACATTGTAATAAGAAACAATTATAAAAGGCTCTTGATACATAAAATGTTATCATACACCAATGATATAAACACAATAACATATTTATTTCAGCATGAAAGTTCTTTCGGACATTAAATTTGAAGATTACCTTCTCTATTTTTCGACGAAATGTTTTTGAACAAATAATTTTGTATCTCTGAACCTTATTTTCTGCTGATCAGGTTCAAAGACACAGGATGTCAGCGGGAACAACCACACCGCCTTCGGTGCGAAGACCTATCCTCAACTTCAGGAGGAGTCTCAACACATCTTCTGATGACGGCAGCGTTGTTACGTGTATGTATTTATTATTGCGAGGGACCCATTTGTCTGAACTGGTCTTAGGATTTCCATTTAAGTTTTTTTTAAAATTAATAAGTAAGTGCGCATTTCACGTCTATCTCACTTGATGGAACGTGACGATGAGGTCGACGATGGAGCATGCACACCCAAGTAATGCCTATTCACTCTCGCCTTGAAAAAGCAGTTATAGCGTTCAGGGAATAAGTCAACAGGCAGGGAATTCCACTCCATAGCCGTTCACCGTATAAATGTCGAAGCGAAATGCCTCTTGCGAATCCATGGAATATCCAAAAATTTTGTTCTTTGATAGTATCTGCCGTACACCTACACATAGTATTGTGTACTTAATGATGCTTTCCAGTAAGTCTATATTTGTTGGCCATTATGCCTATTTTTATGTTAAAGAATGCTGAAGACATTGAAATATGAAACCTACAAAGTAATTGTCTTACGAGTTATTATCAAAGAATCCACCTGTAGTCGATTTTGACAAGAAAATATTTTTCTACAATCATAACATATAGTCACATGTGATCAAATACAACTACTTTTGACGTACGATTATTCGTCAAAAGTACTTTTATTACATAAAAGTCATAAAACGGTCGTTCTCGGACTAGTGTTCACTGTCTAATTTCCGTGGCAATTTTTATTATTTAAATATTCAAGTATATTATCGTGTAATTATGAAATAATATTTCGCGATAAAAAATCAAGTACCTAAATAATAAAAAATTCCACGGAAATTAGGTAGGGAACACCTTTTTTTATCTCAGGGAAACGCGTTACTTAACCTAACCTACTAATTCTGAGAATGACTGGAAAATGCTACATAAAAAAAATATAAGTATGTGAAATTTTAAAAGTTATCGACTAATTTCTTTCGTAGGAACATCAAAACTTGTAAAATTGTCATTTTGCGGATTACCCCAAGGTTGATATTTATCCTTCCTTCTGCCCTCGAAGTTGTAATATAATAATAGAGTGCGTTTTTGTGTCTTTGTACGTCTTCGTGGGTTATGGCCTTACGAAGTGCCGCGTTGCAGTTATGGCGGCGAAGGTACAAGGCATCCCTATCACACATGGTCATAAAAAATAATAAGTGTTCATGTTTTCACCACCATGTGGTCTACATAAATATTTAATATACGTATCCATAGGTAAAATTAAAAAAATCTAATACTAATAACACACACACTCATTGGACTAGGGAAACCCTGTATCGCGGGTGCCATGGACACATACATAGCCAACCATAAATTACAGCCAAACTCACGAGAGAAAAAAATGTAAACCATCCAAATATTTCTGCCCGGCCCGGGAATGGAACCCGGGACCTCTGCGTGGCAGACCAGCATGGTAACCGTTCGGCCACGGAGGCAGTTCATCTTGTAAGGATTTGTTGTCTATCATACATATTATATAAAATCTATATTGTCTTGACGACCTCTGTGTTCGAGTGGCTTGTGCACCGGTTTTCATGGTGTCGTCATCTGTGAGGTCCCGGATTCGATCGCCGGCTCTGGGTGTTTGTGGTACGTCGTTGTTTCCGATTTCCATAACACAAGTGCTTTAGTTACTTACTTTGGGACCGGAGCATCGTATATGATGTTGTCTAATTTTTATTTATTCATTTATCATTTATTAGTAAAATTCTCACAGGACATGCATTGGCGAAATCGCCATTTTTTTTGTATAATTTTTATAATAATATTAAACTACCGTACATAGTTATTTTTACTTGACATTGGCAAAATCATTGATTATTTCGATGGAGCCATAACATTTAAAAGAAGAAGAAGAAGAGGATATATAAGTTCTTGTTCAACAATATAAAGTTTTATTATTTTGTCTTATAAACTGTATTGGTTTAGGTACAGGTAGCGTGGGAGGTTCAAGTGCCAAGGAATATGTAGAGAGTCTCCACCAGAACTCCCGAGCAACCTTGCTTTATGGCAAAAACAACGTGCGGGTACAACCGGTAAGGCTGCAAAATTTTTTTTTAGAATATCAAGTGACGGGACGAACAAGTCGTGCGCCTGATGGTAAACTGTCCTGTTCAACCTGTCCAAAACAGTTGCAGTGCCACTCGGAGCTTTAAATCGCAAAGATCTGAGGGGCACTGCAACTACGCCTGTCACCGTGAGACATACGGTGACAAGTCCTATGTGCCCGTGATGCGTCCAACAACCTGCAGTACTTTCCTGGACGAACTCTCTCACACGGAGCTCTACGGCTGCAAAAGATATTTAACAATATTAAACAGAATTATGAATTCGCAGAAGAATCGACATAGCTTATAGAAATAGTAAAGAAAGGACGGTTAACAGGTTTTTTCTATAACTACTTCTAGAGTGTTCACATGACACATGCATGTCTCTAGTGACGACTTCAAATCGGAAAACTAGATATGGATCGACCAGTTACTGACCTCATTACGCCGCGGAAAGCTGTTTGATATGAGCAGCACATGACTATTCAAGTGGCTCGCGATTTCGTCTGCGTAGATACGAGTAGCCTGCAGTACTACTTACTTGAGAAATGTTTGGTTCTCCATGCAATATTTCATCCCCCATCTCATCTGCTAGGCCCCATCTATCTCTATACTAAAATTCATCAAATTTGATCTAGCGGTTTACGAGTAGGTGTGAAAACGTAACAGACAGAGTTACTTTCGCATTTATAATATTATATGCGGTAAGTTAGATCGAACAAAAATTATTGTCTAACCAAATCTTGTTCTAAATCTAATTTTCAAGAAGCTCATCAAATTCAACTCGTTTGTCTGGGGTCGCTCGCAGACAAATTGCTGTTAACGAGACAATGACTCCCATCTTTTGATTTTAGTCGCTTTCTACCAACATTTTCCTACTTTAGTTGTAGTGTTCGGGTGATATTGAAGAGTGAGCAAGATCAATAGAAGCGTACTTACAGTTTATTCAATCAACAATGTACAACTGCCGTTGAAAACAGCACAAACAATAACAAAGAAAAAGGCGCCAAAAACAAATACTTTTAAATTTAAAATTTCAATTTAAAAGTAAAAAGACTGTAATAATATATGTGCAAAAAAAAATTGTAACGATTGCTGTGATTCGCTACACTTACTTTTATAGAGTTTGACAGTGTAATTTCTTCATCCGTTTATTTGTTTATGATCTTATCAGCCACGAGTGACGAGACATGAAAGGAGTAGTTTGATTTGGAAATCTTTTGCGTATTCGTATCAGAACCACCAAAATCATAAAAACGACCGTTATATAAAAAAAACATTCTCCTCACTTTACGATCCAATTATTGAATTGAACGCTTCACAAATATTGCATTATTTACACATTCTAGCAACCGAAATTGATTTTTAGTGGTTTATAACTTCACAGCTATAACTCTCCTAAAGGCATCTCGGCGACGCGGATACCAAGTCTTATTACTTTTGATATTTGATACTATACTACTAGGCTTGGAAAGGCCCGAGTGTTGTGAAATTAAAATTGTTTTATAGAAAGACGTCGAGGAACCAATGCCTGGATACCTGAGTCTGCATCAGACAGCCGCTGGGCTCGTCATCAAATGGACTCCCAACCAGTTAATGAATGGATACGCTGAGAGCGAAGGAGTTGATAAAAGGTACAATTGATTACTGTACATTACTTTTGAAACTGAAGGCTTACTTTCTTGATTTTATGACGTACGTAGTCTATTAATATTCATTTCAATTTTAATAAATTTATTTTAACGCTGACTTAATTTTTACACCACGGCTAGGCTTGGCTGAAAGAGATATCTTCTAGAGATAAGCTCACATTTTATATGCCCTTTGTAACATGTGTTTGAAGTGTTTTTTTCTTAAAGAACTTATAATTTTATTAATCATCGAATAAAAAAGCTGTAGTATCGTTTGACCTACTGCCTCACAAGCATATCCAAGTTTCTCGAAATTTAGGTGCGAACTTTAATATGAAATTTACCATAAGCCTAACCCATCGCATCAGAGGAGACCCTTGCAAGTGGATAATGTGACCGAAGCGCTAAAGGGCCTTTTCTCTGTATGTCTTTTTTCACGTCTATGTGTGAAAGAGTGCCTGTGTAAAGCCCTCAAATGCCTCTCCAAATAAATAAATTTTCAATATTGTAAAAGTAGACGCTGCGTTAATAAGGATTTTATAGTTCATAAATTTTCCTAAGGTGATTTATCAAAACGTTATTTTGTTTTAAAAAAATTGCATAAAGCTGGGTTCTTTTTTTTAAGATCGTCTAATTGGAAAACTGTATTATTTAATGCGAAATTGACAATCCACGTAACCCTTGATTTAATAAAGCCACATATGATCGTACGTCTTTTATCACTGAAAGTCATAATAACACAACAAATTATGTACGTGTGAAATTGTATAACTCTTCTTTTTAAGTATATTATAGTTATTAATTATAACATAAAACTAAAATTTAATTTATATTAATTATAATTTAAATTAATTGTAATTTCGTTTGTAGAATCTTGAAACCTCTACTGAAAAATAGTTGTTTTGCAGATGTGGCCTAACAAGACCACAAAAGTAATAATTATTAATTTGACTGCGTATTTTAATTAATTTGTTTGATTCTTAAATTTAAAAACCTGACATTTAAATACAATTATGTATATTGTTAATGAATAAATTACTGAATTAAATTGAATTGATGATGCTGCATTTTTAGATTGCGTCTTCTAAATGTCATTAAGTATAATTATCTCTTAGCATAAACAATTTTATTTAGGAAATAGCAATGCTATCTACAGAATAAATAACTAAGCTACAGGCCTAGAAGTTAAATGAAAAAAAGTGCCAAAGGAAGTTACTTGTCTACGCTTTTAAATTATCAATGAAATTGTTTCTTTATAACATAATTTCACATAACAACAGCTGACTTTTATTCCCCACATCCATTATTTGTTTATTAATAAATAAATAAATAATTTATTTATTAACATTAATCCTAAAATATATAAAACGTTAACCCTATTTATTAATGAAAATTATACCAATCTTTGATAGCATTAAGTTAAACTATAACAATACATATTGTTATTATAGTTTATAAAACTACATACTTTTTCCTTTCTATTCCGAATTACGGTCCGTTCTGTTTTTCCTATATCTTTGTTTCTAACTTTGACATGGCTAAATGTTCTACGCAAAGCCATAATACAAAAAAAAACACAGTTGACTAATTTTGTAGGCACTTTTTTTTTTTGAATATATCGTCGTAATTATCCCGTGTGCAGCGCGACAAAAATGTTACGTAAACTGTCAATCCTCCCGCATCGCGTAGCTGCCTCAGGAACCGACTGAGTGAAGCGGTAGGCCTATTTACAGAGTGTTTTTTTTAAATGGGACAGTATGGTGAAATCCGAAATAATAATAATAACACACACTCTCAACATAGTCCCGCACTAGGGAAACCCTGTGTCGCGGGTGCCTTGAATACACACAACACAAATTACACCCAAACTCACGAGAGAAATAAATGTAGGCCATACAAATATTTCTTCCGGCCCGGGAATCGAACCTGGGACCTCGGCGTAGCAGTTCGGCATGGTAACCGTTCTGCCACGGAGGCAGTAGAAGATTTATTTATTATTTTTTTCTTCCCGTACAACAAAATCATACTTATAACAAACTTGACTCTATTAGTATTAAAAAAAATTGTCAACATTAATTTTGTATGAGAATTATTTTATGTAATTTGACCAACTTCGGTTGTCCCGATTTTTTCGTTCCAATATAATGAAATGATCCCTTCATGAAACTGAGTCGATTAGCACTAAAAAAAATGTTGATCAATTTTATTCTTTATTATGGTCAACTCGCGCTTGACCAAAAAACTGACTATGGCAACATTGTTTTCACAAAAAAGTCTTAATGGTTCTTAAGATAGTTTCCTTGTATCTTCTATGGTTTCGAATGTCCCCATACAGTCCCATTTAAAAAAAATTGTACGTGCAGCATTAAATCAGCAAAATAAAAATGATATAAAAAAATAAAATTAATCTCAATTAATAATAAATAGTATTAACCAAGGTTTAATATAAATAAAGAATTATTCAATTAAACTTTTGTTTTCCATGAAGATTTAAAACGCAGTTTCGTAAAGTTCAAAGATATTTAAATAGAACTTGTGACTTAAGTAGTCTTATGTAGCCAAGCTTTCATTATGAAGCAGCTGGTCTAATAAAGTGTTAAGTTAGAAATATCGTCAAATCAATAAAAGCGTCTTATATCTTGACCTTCAAATACAGTCTTTTGTACTTATCGGTGTTCGATAAATAGATTCGTGTGCTTCCCAAGAGATATAACTACGAATTGACGCTGAAATTACATTCATATATTTCGTTGATTGATACTGATTACTTACCCTTCTGTTATGACTTGTGTAGTGCCACACTATTTTGCTCTGTATTACTAAGAAGCTAAACTTTTTTTGTATTCTTGTGCATGCTTAGTGTGTTGTCTGATCGAGTAGTGTTGTAGCTTTCTCCGTTGCCACCTAGTGCATTCGTCCGCCTGCCAAAACACCTGTGTTATGTGCAGTGTGCAGCCCTGCACAGTGTACAGGATTAGATGTGCTGGACCTCTGTGTGCTGATTGGTATGTTGCTTTTTTATTTGCTACCTTAACGCATTAATGTATGTAGCGAAATTACAATACATTTTTGAGCACATTACGCTATATCGATATCTCGATTTTTCGATTTTCTGTTATTTTTGTAAACAGCCATTATTTACTTATTAATATTATGTTCCCCGAATTTCCTAAAAAAAAATAAAGGAACAAAAAAGAAAATTCGAAAAAAAAACAAAATAACGAATTTTGTGAAAAAAAAGAAACAAAATAAAAACAGAACAGGTTAAAAAAGTAAGTTGGCGTAATATTCATTGGAGGTATCGATTTGGTATGGTGTGACGGGTTGGTAACCGCAACTACACGTCTAGAGGTCTATTTTGCTCGTGAACTTAGATTATTTTTAATATGGCAAAATATTCTATAGTGTTATTGATTTTTATGTATTTCTTATGTAAAATAGGAGACAAAGGAGCAGACGAACCATTTTATAGGAGGTTGAAAGAGAGGTTGAAATTTTTCTATGATAATCGAATTTCGCTACGTACGTATTGTGTATTAATGTTCGTGAATGTGCATTGTACTGATTTTTGCTCTGTTTTTGGATCTCAATAAGCGCAATTTTTATTTGGAGACATAGTAGTAAAGTACGGAAAATGCTTATTTACCTTATTTCAATCTTATTATTATTACGCATCCGCCCTCCAAGAGACAAGAAAATGAAATTCTCATTAATTACTTTTACTTATTGCTACACTTAATTTTACGAGCTTACCAATATCTAATTTTAACAAAAATAATGTTCCAATCACCGTCTTCGCTCTGTGGACTGCCGTGGGTTCATAGGACGCTACCGGTAGTAAAAAGTTATCATTTAATAAGACAAGTATGGTAACTCCATACAAACGTAGCTGCACGGCTTGTATATGTGCGCGCCTGCCGCACGCGTCGTATACGGATGCAGACATTCGCATAATCTCGCGGGGTACTCTGGTTGCATAAAACTGGTCGTCCTAACGCTCTTTGTACGAGTTATCATACTTGTCTTATTTTATACTACGACGTAACCCGCGTAGGTCCGTAGGACCATGGACTTTTCATTATTAATTAATTAATTAATTATTTATTTCATTTTTCGTTTAGGATACAGATCATAGCAAACAATGATAACGATCGCGACTAGTACATTGATATTGGTGAATTTTTTCTCTGTTAGTGTTGTAACCAAACATTGTAATAATAATAAGGCAATATACTCATAGCCCCGCACTAGAGAAACCCTGTGCCGCGGGTGCCATGGACACACACGTAGAGAGCCACGAATTACACCCAAACTAACGAGGGAAATAAATGTAGGCCATACACATATTTCTCCTAGGCTGGGAATCGAACTCAGGACCTCTGTGTGGCAGTCCGGCATGGTGATCGTTCGGCCACGGAGACAGAAGTGTTTTTGATGCCATGATGTGAATGTAAAGAACGAAGAGTCGCCGCACTGGTGTTGTTCACGGAGCCAATACGATATTGCACATCGATTACTTCATTGTCATCATCTCAATTTACAACGTGTCACGTTTCAGCGTTTACTGGGCAATGTCGCTGCAAGTATGCTTATGGGAGGTGGTATACGTCCACGTCCATCGGTCTCAGGCTAGTGACGCTCTTATCCTGGTTGGTCAGGATGGGGTGCAACGGCCTCCTATACATTTTCCCAAAGGTATGCTTGATTATATTAATTTTGATAAATTGTCGCTTAAATGCTAAACCTCCGCATCATAAGGAAATTAAAAAATGTTTTTATTGCAAAAATGTGTTTAAAAACGGTCAAACTTTAATACTACATTAAGACACCTAGCGATTTGGCATTATAAACAACGGCATTACGCAAATGCCTGTTTGGCATTTTGCACTTTCGTGGCTAACTTTTGAGCTAACAGTCCTTTTGTGAGTTGTGTCACGGTAATCATCGCAAGCGCACGTCGCTATTAGGAAAAAGTGCCATATCGCAAAAACTCCCTCTGAATTCAAAGAAACTTATGGTCTAAATGAAACAATATTAAAATGTTACAAAATTAGGTGGAAAACTTTGATCGCCTCTCCTGTAAAAGTTTAGCATTTAAGCGACGAAATGTATAATTTTGATAAATATCCCGAGGCTAATGACGTCAGCAAAATTAAAATATGGCGGACGTTGGGTTTAGCTCTCTATAAAAGACATCAACGGCGTTACATTTTACGATATCGTTTTATTACGAAGGTATAAGTTCCAACTAGGTAACTTATTATGGCTGAAAAACAAGCTTTTCCACACTATATATTTTTATTATTTTTTATTTATTGCACTTGTCAATTTACAATTAAATTAACAAAACAAAACAGTGTGCATAAACCTATACAGATTGTGCAATCGTCATCTACATAATATAAAAAATTTAAAATATATTAAATATTATTGTAGGTAACTTAACAATATGTCCGTGGCAAATATACGTATAGTAATCTATAATTACCATGGTTGAGTTTGTGTCCATTCAGATTTTGTTGGACCTCATACCGAATGGCGTTCTAAAAACTAAGAATGAAAGTATATAAATAACATAGTATTAATTAATATAATAATCATAGTAAGTAAATGGGTAACCACAGTTAAACATTTTTTTTATAAGTAGAATTCATCTTAATCATGAATAATTAAAAAAAAAATGTGGTTTTGTTTTAGTGCTTCTATATTTCTAATCTCTAATCACGTAAATCACTTTAGTTATAAAGTTATTCTACTAAATGAAATAAAATTTGCAATGTAGGAAGTGTGATCACCTAGCGAACTATTTTTGTGTTTATTATTGTGCCGTTATTATAGAGGGTATGGTGATTTTTTATTTGTTTACGTAAAAAAAATATAATTTGCTCAAGAAATTTCATAATACAAATAAAATACTAATTTATTTAACAATATAGTGATCTGCAACAAGCACATAAAGACATTCGTAAAACCTCTGAGTCTGTAGCTCAGCTCGATAAAAGCGCTGGCCCCGGTGTAGCAACACGTGTTGGTTCGAGTAGTATGTACTAATTAATGAACATTAATGAACTAATCGAGGTCTTAGGTTTTCGCGATTGTTACATATGCGATGCGAAACTATTTTTCGGGTCTAAAACGGGTATATTTGTTTTTTTTTTTCAAACGTTTTGTTCTTTATTTGAAAAAACGAATATAGGCGATTTAGATCCGCTACATTTCCCATTTATGAACTAATTGCAACTTATTTCTTAAAAAACACTAGTTGAGCTCAGATCGAAATTACGTTTCTCAAATATTATGCGTAAAAGAAGTTTTGTGTATGTGTGATACATTCACGGGTTGAGTCTTCTAAACAAAATCAGTGAGCTAAAAGTAACATTTTGCTTATTTTTTCAGGTGGACATTTGTTATCATTTCTAAGCAATCTCGAGACCGGATTGCTGCCACACGGTCAATTAGATCCACCGTTATGGTCCCAGAGGGGGACTGGAAGGGTCAGTATATGTTTACAAATGAGTAAACACCTTTTTTGTGAGTGTTTTTCTTTCCTTTTTTTCTCACCTCAAGCGGAAAGTTAGAATTCCCCGATTTGGAAAGACTTAGCGATATACTATGTAAGTCTTATTCATGTAGTAAATGAACGTAACCAGTTAAATATAACTATTTGGTGCCAACAAGAACGATCTTGTAGTGTATTTACAAATTTACGAGAAACAGAATTCGTCGGCTAAATCTGAAAACCTCGTACTTAACTTTATTTTTAGACGAAATCCCTTTTTACTTTTCAAGCGCAATATCGCGCTTGATTAAACGCTTCTATAAATAAAAGCGCTGCAGTGCCTATTAATTTTCATACAATATCTGGAAGCGTAATCGCAACGCCGCTGTCGTGTCACGCGCGCGCTACTTTTGTAATAACAGTTAGTGAAGTGAGACGTAATGCGTCACAATTGTCCCACTGCAATACTTCTTTAAAGCCAACAGTTCCCGGATCTCGGCTCCGGGTTAACATGGATACGGAACACCCTCTGAGTCATAAAAACTTTTTTAAAGTAAATGGTTTGTTTCTGACTACTACCTAGCCCCGGAGCAAAGACAAGGTCTAACGGTCAATTTAACGACTTCGCCCAAAAAATTTAAAAATATTCAGTCACACCTTAAAAGAAACTCAGGTTTTATATGTGCTCGGAAACACGATCGCCAGCCAGGGAATAAAAACATGCAATGACTTAGTGGTAAAAGGTGAAACCAAAACATGCCGTAGAAATAAGTAAATATATAAGAAAAAGTCCTAAAATTTGATGAAACAAACACTTTTACAGGTATTTGGTCGGGGCAAAGCACGTCGGCGACCGATGCCAAGTCTTTGCGAAAGTGGAGAGACGGAAGAGGCCGAATGGGAAGAAGTCGCAGGAGACTACGTGTTTCGCATTGTTAACAATGCCATTACTGATAGAGAAGGTAAACTAGATGGTGAATTTTTTTCAAACAGGAATATCTATTAAAAAATATGACTCACATAAGTAATGCAACTTACTTAACACCAGCTGAAATTAGATAAAGACAAAGGCCGTTTTAGTAATCATTCGAGGAAAGTGTTCAAAAAGTTTTAGCATCATACTGTAAGTTTATTGTTTTCAGTTTCGTTTGTTCCTCGCGAATTTTCAAAACGTATGATTAAAACTTTCGAAACGTTATTTGCATTATTTATAAATATGAATATAAACAATATTTGAAACACAAATCCTCAAATTACTTAATTTTCTTCCAGCCATGCGCCATTCTCTTCTGGAGAGAGTAATTCAGTCTCCTCCACGTACACCTCGTCGTCCGCTAGCCTCAACTTCTACCACGTCTTCAGATTCATCTACGATGTCGGTGGACTGTCCTCCATCGGCTGGTCTTAATGGTCATCCTCCATTGACACCAATACCGCTGCACCATCCTATAGTGGAACAAGTAAGACAATACCATTTAAAATGAGGTTTTGCATTAACTTTGAAACTCTCATTTACGTATCACTGCCAGTTACCGGTACTTATTATTAATTTTTAATTTCAGTCTGCATCAATAGAACTAGTCTGTAGCACAATGCGACGTCAGATAATATCGCGAGCCTTCTATGGTTGGCTTGCCTATTGCCGCCACCTGTCTACTGTTCGCACACATCTTAGCGGCCTTGTCCATCCTAATATTATTCCTAAAGGTAAGTTCTCTTGTAATATGTGAGAAAATAAAATTGTAAAGCTCATAACCATGTTTGGATGATTTGGGAATTAAATGTGTTTGGACATTATGCCAATGTTCTTGAAATTACAGACAACGCTGAAGGCGGTCTGACAGAGGAAGTGTGGAAATCAATGACAGATGAAAACGGCGCAGTCAATGACAAAGACGAAGTCTACCGGCTGGTTTACTACGGCGGTGTACAGCATGAAATTAGAAAAGAAGTTTGGCCATATCTACTTGGATATTATGAGTAAGTGAACTTTTCAAAACAAGTAAACCAATAATCTAATATTAAACGGTAGACGATAACTAAATTTTCTTTTCTTGTGTAAAGCAACAAAAATTTTAATCTTAATATAATATAATAAATTATTTTCAGATTTGGTTCAACAACAGAACAAAGGATCGAACAAGATACAGCGTATAGACGTCAATATGAAACGACAATGTCGGAATGGCTTTGCGTTGAGGCGATAGTGAGACAGAGGGACCGCGAGGCAACAGCTGCATCGATAGCTAAACTGTCTGAAGCATCAGGAAAATTGAAGCCTGTGGAAACAGAACCAGAGGTAAATGTTATGTACATTATTGCGACTATGAAATTATTTGGTAACGTAGTAAATGTTCTAAAATTGTTGTAATATATTATGAGTAGACATTTAAATAAGAAAATTAATAAAATTTTATAAACACAATTTCTCTAATCCGGCAATTGTCTTCAAATACGACCAAATGATAAAGATCATGTTTAATTTTCAGGTATTTGAAGATGATTGCAGTGTCATATCAGACAATCCACCAATAGTATCGCCAGAACCCAGTGAGAATGATCAGAAGAAATTAGAAACGAAACCAGTTCTATCTCGAGCACCGAGCATAGACGAAGTAGACAACATTGAGATGGATTCGGAGAAAGAAAAAGAAGGAAAAGTTAACGGAGAGACTGAGAAGGGTGATAACGTAGATTTAGACAAAGATGTAGAAAGTCTTAAAGACTTAGAAGAAGATGAAGAAATTCATATAAAGAGTGTTGTAGAAAATCCTGATTTAAGAAGAGAAAGCATAGCAGAAATCAAGAGACTAGCTGAAAATATCGTTCAAAAGGGTGAAGGAAGAGGATTATTGTGCAGCGTGGATAGTGCGAATATGAATCTTAATGGTAGCGACATGAGATCATCTATTGACGAGCAACAAGAGAGTCAACCTAGTCAGCCCAGCGAACAACGCACAAGTGTAATCGTAACGAACCCCTCAGTAGACTTGGCTGCTTCAGGTTCTCCAGCATCTGAAGGAACTACTGGTAAGATTTTAAGAAGTTCAATTGTCGCTGTCATTGTTTCGATAATAAATTGTACTTACGACATTTTTTCTGCTTCATACGAATAAAGGTAATAGTATGATTTTGAACAATTTAGTTACAATACTAAATAGCCCAAATATAACTTAAAATTTATGTGCAGATTCCACTAGTGCGTGTTTATATATTGACATTTTTTAATTTTAAAATAACTTTCTGTCGGGTGCACGTACGATAGTATTAGTTACTTTATCTGGGGATCTAAAGCAAATCCCGTGGATGTATATATAATCCACAGTTCGTTCCCATGCCTGACGGCAGCCGCTTTGGCGTTTGCACGACAGAATCGTTTGAAGCTGCGATTGTCTGTTGTCACATTTTTATCGTGACGTTTTATTTATCGTTAGACGACTGTCGTTCTAGATCTTCCCATTGCCACGACAGTCTGTCGTCGTGACGTCAAAACAGTGAAGAACGACAGTTAATAGTGTTGTTCTATGAGTAAACAACTTCATTTAAATATACAAGCCACGACACTTTACACTGCACGACTATCGTCGTACATGTGGGATTCCGTAGCGATTCTCAGCTTTAAGTAAAAAAGAATAAAAATAGTAAAAATTAACTGAACGCCTTTCCCTTGTTAAGGAAGGAATATTGTTACAGCCAACGTGAGTCCTGCGCGTAGTCCGCTAGGCGTCGTGCGAGAGGAGTCTCAGTCGGCTGGCGCATCGTTTGATACTTTGGAGCCTACCAATGATCCTCGACCTCCGACAAATAGGTCTAATTGCGCATCACCTGCAAGCTCTAATGGTGGAGTTTATTCTGTGAGTAATGAACAAAAGAAATAAGGCGTTAATTAATATACAATCTAATTTTTACACTTAATGTCGATATTGTACTATAGTGTCGGCATACAGAGTGTCATTTATGACAGTATGGGGAAATCTGAAACCATAGAAAATACAATTAAATTGACCTTAGGACGTAGACATACTAAAGTTTTTAGACGAGCGTAAGTTGTACAGTGAATAAAATGGATATTTTTTTTTTGGGCTGGATTGATTCAGTTTTATAAAGGAATCATTTCATTGTATTGGGATTTCATTGTATAGGACGAAAAAATCGAGACAGCAGAAGTTGGTCAAATTTCATAAAATATTTTTTCATACTATATGAATAAAACTGACAGATTTTTTTAATGCTAATTGATTCAGTATCTTATAAGGATGACTTCATTGTATCTGACGAAAAAAATTGGGTCTGCAGAAGTGGGTCAAAATTTATGACAAAAAATTTTTCGTACATGATCACCCTGTCACCCTGTGTGCGATACTGTGTTTCCCTAATATGGGGCTATGAGTGTATGCGTTATTAGTATATAAATGATTACCATATATGAAACGAATTTGGCTAACTTTAGATCCCCCATCGTCTGTATGCATTTCATGGAGTTTTTGGCACTCTGTATGCATTTCATGGGCACTTTTGCGCTGACAGACAGCCTCATTTTTTGTAATGAATTTTCTAATCTAAAGCTGTACAATATCAAATTCGTGGAATTCGGACAATAAGTTAAATAAGTCATTCAAAATTCATTACATTATTATTTTAGATTGAACTGGTAGACAGCTTTGCACTGAACTTACATCGCATCGAAAAAGACGTGCAGCGATGCGACAGGAACTATCCCTTCTTCACCGACGAGAATCTTGATAAACTTAGGAATATTATGTGCACGTAAGTTTCTCCACATTGCTTTTGCCCTTGTGATCCTATGTGTTTAGCTACCGATTTGTACTGTCGTTATAATGTGTATTTACTGGCTAATATTAAAAGTATTACGTACTCTTGGTATAAAAGGGTTATATTTGCAAAATGACTTTTCAGGAGAGAAGTTCAAACATTCTATGAATAAAATTAATCTAAAACCTTTGCACACGGCGTATTTTATTCGCGCCGCAGATGCGCTGTAGTGAATCGATTCAAACACGTGCAAACATCGCGTTGCAAACAAGAAGCTTATGTACTCCACTGGAGATTACACTTACAATTTCAAGTAGTTGCTTCATTTCAAAAACTAACTGAAATTAACAAACAAAACTACAATTAAAACTATTTCTTATCAAAATGCGCTATACATAACTAAACTAAAAGCGCGTCGTCGACGCGTATAAATTACGCTGTGTGTATAGACTCTTAAATAGGAGAGATATAAAATTTGACATATACGTCATTTCGACTCATCCGTAGAACAAAGATCTATGTGTAAGACTACTTGTTCTCAGGATATAGTACATTTCGTTCGTTCCTTCTTCGCTGTGGATATCAGATCGACCGTTGTTCGATTTTATATTTCCGAAACGAAATAAGTATATAATATAAATTATCAAAACACCTTTACATAGGCCTTAGTTTGAATAACGAAATTATTCTCGTAGCGTACTTATTCTCTTTTTGCTTTATAATCCCTCGGACTCTGTTCTTCGGATGAGTCGATTTGTTTCATGTAGTACCAATGTATTTCATGTCATAAAAGCACCTATGACGAATGAGCTATACTAAACCAATTCAAATATCTAAAAAAATATAATCATCATTTCGTTGGGGATAGTGCAAATCCGCGTAAGGTAAAAGGCGCGTATCTGCACTAAATCAAATTCCACAGGAAAGGGATTTAACGTTATTATTTTGTTATTTCAGTGGCTACAACTTTCATTTTCGCACAGTAGACATTAATTTATGTTGTACTGATAATAATAAATTCCCGTAAATCACGCTAATTTGGTTGCCACGACATTTACGCGTGTTTGATTTGATTACTAAATTACCGAAATGGAAACTCATAATCAAATGCTAATTACGCGTAATCACACTATCCCCGACGATTTATACTTTAATCCTTATGATATATTTTGGTAGTAGTAGAGCTTTTTGTAAAAGAATTCGTCTAGGGAAGTACTGCCACCATACCTATTTCTGCCGCCAAACAGTAATGTGAGCATTGCTGCGTTTCGGTTTTGAAGGGTATGGGTGCTTGTAAAGCTACATAATAATATGGCCCTAGTCAACTTTACGTTACTTAGTCCGTTGCGATTTGAAGCTCTAAGTGGTACAGCAACTGTTGTGAATAAGCGTGTCGCTTATCCACGATAAAAAATATTCAAAAACTTCACATTGTAAAAGCTTCGTTGATAACTAAAAATTTTCGAGATATAGTCCCAAAATATTTTTTTACGACTGATTCACAATAAAATGTTCTACAGGTACGTATGGGAGCACCTAGATATGGGTTATATGCAGGGCATGTGCGACTTGGTGGCTCCACTTCTCGTGATGATGCATGACGAAGCCACTGCGCACGCGCTCTTCTCACGCCTCATGAGTCGCGCTACGGATAACTTCCCCTCGGGACAAGCGATGGATGCACATTTCGCTGATATGAGGTACATAAGGCCTTGGAATACATACCTCGTACTTGATTTTTATGCAACTTTTCAGGACGAAGGTAAAAATTTGGTGCAAAATATTGTACACGCAGTATACGTAGCCTAAATATTATCGTGGATATATTCTGTTGTTCATTGAGCGAATTCGTAAAAGTGGTTTGGTGAGTTTTGTGTTACCATAATAATAATAATTAAGAGTCATAAATTTGCTATTATATAAATCAAAGTGGAATAAATGAGACTTGTTGTCTACACTTTCGCATTATGTACAACCTGTAATGATGGCTGTAAGTTGGAAATAAATAAATGTTTCTAGTTAGAATTTAATCAGAGAAATATACTGTCCTCCTTATCATAATTAACGTAATCTACATTTTTAACGAAATCGAGTTATCAACATATTATCTGGCATCAGCAAAACGAGATCTACAACCCTATAACCGGATTTTTTATATCTTATTTAGTTCCTGTTGTATTGTAAGGCAAATTCAGTGTAATTTACATTTTTAATAGTACAAAAAATTTTTAGGTGTAATGTATGGAACGTTACTAAAATCAAATTCGTTAGTTATGACAAGGAGGGCGATATAATTCTGGAGTTCTTGCCGGGTTCACGAGTCTTTCACTTGCGTTTTTCGTTTGCTTGCGCGACTCGTTTTGCGCATACGCAAATCACGAGTCTGCTTGCTTTCCGTTGACTTTTTTTGGGTTGCGTGAGTTTGATATCTAGGAAGCTTGAGATCTAGCATGCAAGCAACAAGGAACGTTTGCGGAGGACAGCACCACTGGCCAATCACACAGCAGCTGGTTCGAGAGTGTCGACAACCCAAACAAAGGCAAGGCGCCGCGCACGCGCGCAAGTCTCTTAGCAATGCAAAGCGGAAGACTCGTGAACACTTTTGCGTTGAAGGCAGATTTTTCTACGCCGTGTACCCAGCCAACGCAAGCAAATGAAAAACGCAAGTGAAAGATTTGTGCACCCGGCCCAAATTTTGCGATTGTTACGCATAGGAAATGAAAAAAATTTTTGGATCTATAGTCTGTCTTTTTTGAAGACAGAGCAAAATGACAGTTCATTGCAATGATATTATACCTGGTTCATTGCGTAAAAATGTTGCCGGCTTCCGAGCAGCTAGTGATTGCAGTCGATAATATACTAGTGACTATCGACTGAATATTGGTCACGCTTAAGGAATAAATAGCCGAATGTTAAATTTCAATCATCCTTGACCCGTTTATTCATCCAATTACTGAGCACATGTTCATTGGATGTATGGAGTACTGCTGCCACCTTTGGGACGGCTCTGCCCATTACCAGTTAGCTGCCTTGGACTCGATGGAGCGAAAAGCGAGTAGACTTATTAATAACAATTCTCTTGTGGAATAGAAGCTACAAATTCTCGACCATCGCAGAAAAGTAGCTTGCTTGTCGGTTTTCATCGGATACATTTCGGGGAGTGTGCGCAGGAACTTTTCAATTTAGTTCCACCTTCACCGTTCCTCCTTCGGTCGACGAGAAGGTCCGGAGCAGTCCATTCTTATGTCGTTGACATTCCACCTATTCGCACTAAGCGCTTTGCTTCCTCCTTTCTGATGCGTACGGCAAAAGACCATTCCTTTGCTCTACCGAAAAGTACTATTTGGGGCTATTCAAGGCTACAGTGAATTAGCATTTTTTAGGCGAACGCGTTCCATCGTCGGTCATATCGTCGCTTAACATCATGTGAGATTGTGGCCAAGCGTGTGTCTATTATATATTAAAAAATACTGTATTTAGAACTATGTTTATGAAGTATACAAAGAGAAAACGTATGTTAAAATTTTTTTTATAAAAATTTAAATTGATAGTAGTAGGCCAACTGTCAAAATAGGAATAAAGAAGGTAATAACGCAGTTAGTAATCATTATCATCTGTCGTAACATTCACAATTTAGTCATTTTTGGCAAAATCTTATTTTTCTGTCACAATCTATCGATAAAACTATCGAAAACAACTCATAACTAACTATTTAAAATTTTATGAAAACTGGCAGTCCTTCTAGTGTCATTTTACTATGTCTTCAAAAAAGACAGACTATAAATCACGTGTTTTTTTTAAAGAAACCAACGTTTCGTGCCCTTAGCAGGTCCTATGGCTACAGGTGACATTTTTTGTGGATTAGTTTACACAATCATTTCTTTTTGCTTGACGGAGTATGCAATCACTACCACAATCAGTGCCGTGACCATGCGCCTTTGCTTGTTTGTTACCAGGTCGCTGATTCAGATCTTGGACTGCGAGCTGTACGAGCTGATGCACGCACATGGCGACTATACGCACTTCTACTTCTGTTACCGGTGGTTCTTGCTCGATTTCAAACGAGAGCTGCTGTATAAAGATGTGAGTGTTTTCCTTATTCTTTACGGTAACTCGTAAAACTGACTGACTGTCGCTGTGGATGCAGAAGTTGCTGCAGTAGAAGAATCTTCACTAGGTTAATCGGAACCATAAAGAACTATCGACCCTAAACGGATCGTCCCAATAGTGGTCTATATCGACCTCAGGGAGCCTCTCCAAATTTTGGCTGTCCATAAATGGAATAATTCACATTACATAGATGGTGTAATTATGTACTTTCAATAGACATATAAATTAAATAAATTGTAGAAGTTAACATTTCACAACAAACAAGATATAAACCCAGCAACCCCGAGAGTTTCTTGCTCGATCTTCTCAAGGGAATTTGCTTTACGATTTACGATTGCGTCGTTGCTTCAAGTCCAGTCGGATCGCAGGATTTTTTTCGATCGATTTTGTTTGATCTTTTATCAATAATAATAACTAACTGGTGAAGTATTTTCACAAAAAATAGACAAATCCTGATATTCGATAGAAAATTAAATAAAATGCTTTCTAATTTTCGGTATTTTTTACTGCCTCTGTGGCCGAACGGTAACATGCCGCACTGCCAGGCAGAGTTTCTAGATTCGATTCCCGAGCCGGGAGAAATATTTGTATGGCCTACATTTATTTCTCTCGTGAGTTTGGGTGTAATGTGTGGTTGTCTATGTGTGTGTCCATGGCACCCGCGACACAGGGTTTCCCTAGTGCGGCGCTATGTTGAGTGTGTGCGTGATTATTATTATTATGATTATTATTTTTATGTGAAGGTATTCGCCGCATGGGAATTGATTTGGGCAGCGCGACACGTGGCCTCTGAGCACATGGTGCTGTTCATAGCGCTTGCATTGCTAGAGACTTACCGTGACGTCATTCTCGCCAACGCCATGGACTTCACGGATATTATCAAGTTCTTTAATGGTAAGGCATCAAAGAGGTCGACCGAAATTTGTTTGTATCTTATTAAAAAATCGAGGAATTTCTGTGCCGTGTGTGCGTAAAGAATAAACTTGTATCTAGAATATTCAGAATTATTATTATACTTATTTCATTCATCAGGACTTGAAAGTTGAGAGGTATTTTATTTATATTTTGTGTATATCAGCTTTTTTTTTTTGCAGAAATGGCGGAAAGGCACGATGCCGCAGCTGTCTTATCTTTGGCGCGGGATCTCGTGTTGCAAGTACAAACCTTGATTGAAAATAAATAAAATAACATGTAGAAAAAAAAAACAAATTACAATTTATTTATGATGTAGTTAAAAAAGTAACAATCAACAAAAAATAAAATAAAATAAGACTTTATTTTGTGTTAAAAAATCAGAATGAAATTTGAAGAGAGTGGCAAAAAAAATTGACGACATGATAATAAAATTTCTCTTAATTAAATTCTGTAGACGTAGTGATGAATCGTTATACTATTTTAAATAATGAATGTTAAAGAAAATATTGAACGTTGACATAAAGGATCCTTTAATAACTAATGTCCTGATTAAATAATAGGCTCAATTATTTGCGGTAAACATAGTATAATAAGACCGAGCGGGTTGCCATTGCTTAGCACATCAATGCCTACACTTCACTCGGAGTGTAGGGTTGCAACGTTATTATTTTAATTGTACCTGCAGGTTGTAAACATAATTTGAAAAAATTAAGGTATATCACAGTGTGTATATTGACATAACCTTTGCCAAATGCAATACTTAAATATTGATATTAAAAAAATATATATTACGATAGAAAAAAAAAAAAAAATGTACCAGACAACCACACTAATTACCTGATATCAAACATTCCCTCTACTATGAGTACTAGAGCAACAAAATAATCATTGGCTCACAAAATTCGCCAAATAAACAGATAAATAAAAAATGTGAATTATTAATATGAATATGAAGATGTGTAACTTGCCTCTCATATTTAGTAGGTACCGAGAAGAACAACAATTCTGAATTGGAGGCACTCTTGTTCAAACGACCATAAACAACAATAAGCACATCTAATTGATGTCATTTTTAAAACACTAAGCAAACTTACAAGTATTATATCATTGGAACAAACGCTTCAATTTTACAATGAATGGAGCAGGCGACAACCCGAGCTACGCAACTAATGCAACGCGAGTGCACCGCGAAATGATGCGAACGTGTGCGTCCGAACACGGCGCGAGACGGCCGTGTACACATACAAGCCGCTCTGTTAAGTTTGCACGGAGTTACCACACTTGTCTTATTATACTATATATATAGGGTCTGAGAGTAGAGTGTTAGCGAAATCTTATGTTATGGCATTACTAGACGAAAAGTTAAGAAGAGCTTGAATGATTTTAACATTAACCTCAGAACATTGGCTATTTAAAGTAGGAATATAAAGATCTATTATCACGGTCTCAAATATATCGGCCATTCTCACAATTTGGTGTTCTCAGTCTAATTACCGTAGCCATTTATGTAAATTACGAGTGGATACGTCGACACTGGTACGTTCGCACGAATTTCAAATATTTCTTGGTTTAGATATGAGCACTTTGAAAATGAATGGCGATATAAAAGGTATATTTACTAACTTCCGGCCGGTCTCTCGGAAATTTGATGGTAGATTTTAAAGAATAGTCGTCGTGGGTTGTATTTTTATGTAATTACACGAGCAGTCTTTCGCCATCCAGGATAAATGGCACTGGTGTAATTCATTCTGGGCTAAAATGAGAAATAAATTTACAGACAAAGGTAGCGTCCGAACAGGCTACGGTAATTGGAGAATATGGGTTTGAAAAAAAAAATTTGTATGATAATTAAGTAGCAGAGTTATAATAAAGATAAAGGTATAAACTACATAAAAATATATTTATGGTTCTTTATAATGTAATACAGAGACAGGAAAGGCAGCAATTCTTTCATGTCTCTGTATGTAATACATGAAAAAAATTGATGTTATGTGAATGGCCGATATATGGGGTTATAAAATTCTAACAACCTCTCAGGACTGTATCAGTAACATCATAACAACGTTAGTTCCGTGTTTTAATATTTCATCAAATATTACTTTCGCATTAAAATAAAAATATTTTAATGGTGGTAATAAAAGCAAGCACCCACCATCAAAATTATTTTCATGAATGACAGTAAGCGAGTGGTATTTTGGAAATACAGATGTAGAAAGTTTCTATAGTATATTAAAAACTTGAAAGTTTATTTGTCGTCAATGTATTATTTGTAAAAAGTCAAGGAACAAAAGTTGTTGTTTATAGTGTTAGTCATATAATCATGAGAGATTGTTAGTATTTTACATAATATAGTCCTGTATATTGTTCACTGTTTACAGGTTTCTTATACTCCGTACAACCATTTATTTACCTGACTTTTGACATTGCCTCCGAAGTTCCTAATTATTCACATACAATCATACACAAAAATTTAACACTTTTTTAATTTTAGTGAAGCGACGTACTCTTTAGCTCCGATATTTATCGAGCCTACAGATTATGTAACAAGATTATTCACGTTGATAAATTTTGGTACCTGTCTAATAAATTATAATGAAATGAAATAAATTATAAATATAATAAATTCTTATTGTTTATTATAATGAATATTCGGATTCTTCTCCTTATGAACGGGAATCATCACTTGAATCCTCATTAACATTAATTATTATTTCTTGAGTACACAAATTGTCAAACGCAACATCACGATCCCAATCAGACAGTATCTTCTTTTTTGAACCCGCTCACATTCACGATTAAAACTTCTTCATAAATAAAATCGATTATTATAAAAAATCGAATCGGAAACGCATTAGGACATCACTATATAATTAGAATTCGAGCTGCCAATAGTTAAATAAATGGTTGGACGGAGTATATGAAACCAGTAACTAGTGATGATAATTTAGTGGAAAACCACAAGTCTTAATATTTAATAAAGCATAGAGAAATGAAAGTTTAGTAAGGAATTGACAATTGCCAAAGTTATGAACGTTTGTTGAAATTATCCAATAAAATTGGAACCATTCAGTTAATTGGTTACGTTAGAAGAAACGTGAACTGTCAGTCAATTCTTGTTTTTGTTGTTTCTACAGGAAATTCACTTTAACAGGCCGGGTAGTGATTGTTTTTCGAAGAGAGCTTATATATGAATTTCCAAAATGATCTCCATCATTATCCGATTCCAATAATAATTACATATAACTGAGAAGTAGGATTTCAATAGAAACACTACCGTGAAGTCATATAGGCAATTCATTAAATTGACCCTACAATCTTGTGAGAAACTATTATTTACCTTGTGTTATTTATTGGACAAATAACAAAGAATCGGCTAAGTAAATGTCGATTGTAATCGACAGAATATTCATAAGATGTATAACTTCTTTACTGTGAAGGGGCTGTCACGAATGGAAAGTCAGTCTCGAATAAATCAATCAATTACATATTTTAAAGTTGGAAATTTATCGAATTTCATATCGTCTATTATGTATACCTATTTAAATAATTATATAAATTACCTACGTTATGTCAACCCCTTCCTCCCGTGCCTTTTCCATACAAAATCATTCTACGTAATAAAAATTTAAAAGCCGAACTGAAAATCTCACGAAAACGATTTTAAACCCTCGTAACCGCAAAAAAGGTGTCCTATATTTTTAATCTTCCATAACGGAGTAAAATGACATTTGTAGGGTTGCTATTTTTCGTAAAATTTTAAATACTCCTTTATTTGTTGTCGATAGTTCTATAGTAAATTGTGACGTTCTAATTATTAATAATTGCTTTATCGCCTTTTTTTTCATATTTTGATGGTTTGCCCATTTTGAAGTTGATAATCAACAGAGTATTTATCGACTGCAATCACTAGTTGCTTGTAAACTGACAACCCTTTTTCGCAGGTCATTTTTCTCCGTCGTGGAAAACAATGTGGAATAGAATTGTTTCATGATATTTGCAGTCGACAAAATAATAACTTTAGCTATCATAATAATTATATACACAATACCTCAATTACCTTATCATATTAATTAATTACGATTTTATTAATACGTGATTATAATTAATTTCAATCTGTATTAACATAAATTGTATTTGTAATCGCTTTATGCATTACGTCCTTGGAAGTACAAGCTGTAAAATCTAATTTAAAAAATAAATTGAGATGTTCCCATGGAATATACATACTTACAAAATAATAAAGAACAATGCCCATTTCGAACTCACACATTAGTCATGACGGTTGAAAATTTTGTCCATCTAAATATGCGTTATAAAATAATATACGGTTCTTTCGTATAGCTTTGAAATAAGTTGGGGGAAAAAGATTTAAAAATACGTAAATAAGCATTGTAAATAGTTTTGTTTAGTTTTGTTTTAGTGTAATTAGAAACTATTTGGAAATACAAATGAAATCCTATATCTGCGATTGATGGCCGTAAAATTTTTTACTTGGTTCAGAACAGTATGGAACTTGGGAATTGTTCTTTGTTGTTAACACCTTAAATCTCAATTTTAATGACTCGCTCATCAAAGAACTAATTTTAAGAGAAATTATTGAAATTATATTTTATTTACAGGTTTTATTAATTATAGCCCATATATTCTGATATTGTCTTTTTATCAATATAGTAGTTATATGTATGTATACTGTATTATTATTAGTGTTATTAAGGCTTCTTAGGTGTTTCTGTGCTGTAAAAAGTCATTAGAAATAAATGTTGTATTCCTGAAGTAATTGGAACGTTGGTTTTAACAGGCTTTAGTATTTAAAATTTAACTACGACAATTTATATTTTTTAGTAGCAATAGAGCTACTTGTGAAAGAGTTTATCAAAGGAAGTACGGCCATCTTACGTGTTTATGCCGTCAGGCGGTAATGTGAGCGTTACTGCGTTTCAGTTATGAAGGGCGCTGGTGAAATTACAGGCACATGGTCAAGTTATGTCTCAGGGTGACGGGCGCAGTGGCAATGCCTCTCAGATTTTTGCGATTCGAAGCTCTGACCGACACTACAACTGGCGCACAACTGTAGGGTCATAAAGCTACCTCCCATGGACATAAAGCTATCTCACAAAGAGATCCCGCGCTTATGTCGCTCTGGCGCAAGTCGCGCCCTGTCGTGTTTGCCCTACTGTTTCGTCCCGTCACATGGTATCATAAAAAATATCGATATAAAATAATGCAGAGATTTCCGAAGAAGTCAAAGCCGTCGATGCCATTTCCATT